CTGTTTGTGTAGTTATTGCTTTACATTAATGTTCAAGTCAGTAATGGCCAATGATATGTTGTTCATCGTTTAAGTCAAGTCAATGATAGCTGATGACATGTTCAGCACCACTGTATACAACCTATCACAGCTAAGAAAGGTCACTAGATGATGCAGGTTACTTACTGGTCCGCTATAGCACCACCTACATGCTTAGATTCCGATGTGGATGGTGATGTCTCTAATTGTGTCGAACTGATTCGTGAATATCTAAATAGTAATAAAACCTACTTGGCGATTGGCGATACGAATTTGTCGAACACCCGGAATTTGGGATATTGTACGCGGCTATTCCCAGCCTGAATCTCAGCCACATCCATGTCGACTGAATTGTAAAGAAAGTCTTCTTTACGCTTCATTACACCTCTAGGAAATGTTAGTAAGATTATTGTACTGACATTTTGGGCTTTCCACTGTTTTGTGGCAATGTGGTCTCATCCGTAAAAGTGTTTCTACGGTGAGATTCCAGTATTTGCATTGAAAGTAAGACATCTTTCGCCGACTGCAGAGAATCTATAGTAAATCATAATTTCTATGTTTGTTACTAACCGAATTCGTCAATGACTTTACATTTCAGAACTGCCCAATTTTCATCTGGTTGGTAGCACCTTTGTAGGTGGATATCGACAAGCCTCGTTGGATAAAGGCACAGTTCTTTGCTAACAGTCCACTTCTTGGATGCTATCATGAGTTGTTTCATGATAGGGACGTCAACAATGGCGTATTGCTTCTTAGCGGGATAAATATAACATAAGACGTAATTAAATGGTTAGTCATGATTAATTAAGCGCTGATGTAACAAAATACATTTACATTATATTATGCAACAATGGGATTAGAACTAAATAATTCCTACAATTTATGGCCATACATTTACAATCTATGTCCTTAACCGAGATCCATGTGTGTTCATCGCTAACTACGCTGCACATAAAGATTCCAATATCGTTAGATTGGAAAGGATCTTCAAAGTAATTGCGTGGGTCAGTGAAAGACCTAAATTTCAGCAGCCCATCCTCCTTTATATCAATGGCTAAACCAGGCTGTCCGTTTACTACTAGTAAATTATCAGGCCTAAATGAAGTTATTTTACTATTCTTAAACATAATTACTTGTTTATTGGAGACATCATTAGCGCCTATTGGGGTAGTATTTGTTAAACCACTAATTTGAAGCCTATCGCTGAAGGACATTCTGTCAGCAAAACGCTGTGCTGCTCGCTTAGCTACTGCAAACTCACTACGCACAGAATCCTTAATTTGTCTCATATAAGACTCGAATGGAAAGGCTGAAAAGCTAAAGGTCCATGTGCACGAACTTCCTCAGGGAGGCGCTGTAAGGAATACACATTGTAAACTTAGTTTTCAGACCAATAACACCATTCGTATTCCTTCAGGAAGTTTAGTAAATCTATTCTGGCAGTTTCTAAAACAGCATTATGTAATTTCGGATGTGCAAGCAGATACATGGATAACGCTAAATGCCGGAAGTTAAGATGCAAAGGTTGTGGCAATGTTTTTTGAAGAATCACTGGGCCTAAATACCGAAGGAACAACCCACATTCCAAAGCTTTCCAGGCCGATACAAAGTCTAGTGTACGGCATTTGCGCGGAAAGTCGGTAGGAGTACTTGCCACGCAACCTCATATTACATTATTTATTTCCCTAATTGCACATGAGTTTAAGTTCAACAGTCTTCTGTGTGCTAAATCTATCCATAAATTCGCCAGTATTTTTTGTAACACCAAGGTAGGCCATGTGCTTAGGATCTAAAGGAAAAGTTATAATCATATTAATAGGAAGCGTTTCCATAATAAAATGTCCTTGATGGTGAATAGATTGAGACTGACGACGGAAGGTGTCGTCTGTTCTTAAAGTATATACCCCATTTGGAAAGGTCGTCTTCCCCTCCAGCCGTCTCCCAATTACAGTACACCTATCGAAACCTGCCTCACCGTTACGTTTTACAGTGTACCTAACAGAAGAAGGAGCAGGTGCGTCACATATAACAGCCGCCAACCTAATAGCTATGCATTTATTAAACTTAACACTAAAAAGACCCACGTCAGTCATTTCATTTATTTCAAAAATTGTGTTCGCAGAAAATTCATTGAATTCTGCCGGTTTACTATTCCCTCCGTAGACCCCTATCATGAACACGCCACTAAACCTAGGGGCAATGATCCTTCCTAGTATAGGCCATAACTGTTGATTGGAGCTTCTAGACATAGAACGTCCATCTATATTGATATATAAATTTAAAGAGTCAAAATCAATAGTACACAACCAAAGCTTAACGTATCTTAGCAGATTGGTTTTCAGTCCTAGATGGTAGTAAACCCCACTGCCGATTAACTTTGATTGAACACTAGGACACGTCTTCAGGACAACTTTGATGCTTTTCGGTATGTCCGGGATGAGAAATCGTAGACCATACAGAACCCGATCAGCATCTCTTATGCTCAGAGATGTATTTGACATTATATACATCATGAAAACGTTCATCAGTTCTTTGCGATTTAGGAACTTCTGAAAGCACAAGTTTACTTCAGTACATCCTATAAGATATATATTTCCGTATGAATTCAATGTACATACCACTATTATCTGAAAGCCTTTGATTGATGTTGCTAGTGGATGGTGTAACAGTTGAAGTTCTGTCATCACGACGTATTTCTCTCTTTACTTCTATCAATTTTATAAACAACACTGTTGAACTCATTTACCTTTCAGGGTGCTTTCATTAGCAAACTCACTAAACAAAAGAAAGTCATATTTTTTCATGAAAGCGGTCGGCATTTTATTCCGCCTTCTGTTATATGTGGATGTATGACAGCCAAGGGAACGTGACAAGTTCACAGTGGCTCTACGTCTACGAACATTATCATTGACTTCAACAAAACTCACATTATTGGCCTAACAAGGTAATCAGTCACAATGAACATGAAAATCTGAGAGCACGTCACTCACCTGCATCACGTAAGTTTTTTGTGATCGCTCCCAAGCATGTCGAAACACTTTAGCTAAACAAAAAAAGAAGTCGGTGTATATGCGTCTCACTTTTAATAATGAATCAATGATAATCGACTGATGTGCAACAATATGAATTATTGGTTTACCATTACATATTGATAACATGAACGTGTATCAACCACTAAATGTTCATGATAACCAATATGATTTACATCTCAATCTTAATTAATCACGTTTGTTGCACTTTTTCACATTTCATTACCAGACAGTAAGTTGAATTTTGTAATATTCAATTTAATCATTCCAATTTCGCTGATCATATGCTGAATTTTTTGTATAATCTGTCCATTTGATCAGTCTCAGTTAATGCATTTTGATGAAAACAGTCCAACCACACAAGTGGAAATGTGCATTTTCTAAATTCATCGTTTCGTGAGTATTTGTCCTTTAAAACATTTCTGATTCATCGTGGAGCCAATGAATGAACAATATTGAGTTCATTTATTTGCTTTTTGGAAAATGTAGTTATTTGGTTTATGAGACCAGATCTTCACGAATAATTAGTTTTGGACTTGTGTCATTTCAGTGTAATTATCGTCTAATCCTATGCGTGATATTGACTGATGTTGAAGTATGCTGCAGTCAAACTGATGGCGACTAAGCTCGTGGTCACTTATGTAGACAATAAATAGCATAGTTCGGAACCGGTCACAGTTAAATAGATACACGCAAATCTTATTGTTCTTCAGATCTTGCATTGCTAGAGACCTGTTTGTGTATATTTAGATTTTGTCATTCTCATTATCATATCTTATTGTCGTACTTATGTGGTATAGCAGCTTGGTTTAATGTTGGTTTGTCCAAGGCTACGCGATCATCACAATTAATTGGCACATAACTTTATTTCATAAATCTAATGAGTTTGTGCTATGAATCTTTGATGATTATTTGGAAAATACATTTTTAGTGAGATCTGATATTAAGTTTTTTGTGCGATCTCACTTAAAGTTTAAAAACTACAGAAATACATTTTTCTCAGAACAGAACAAATCTCTCAAAAAAACATGGTTTTTATTTAAACTTGGTTGTTAAGGCAAATAATTAAATGTTAATACAGGATCTTCAACAGGATTCCCGAACAAATGAGATTGAACTAATGTGATCAATACTTGTGATGGACATTTTCAACCAGCATTTTATTAAAAGTCGCCATACATCTGTAAAAGAAATTGAAATTTCTTATTATCCTACGAATTTAATTGATTTTACTATTATTATTATTAAGTGGTTTTATTCAATATTACATTTTTAGTACAATGTGGGATTCTCAGTACAAAGTATTTCAACAAGATTTCCTAATCTTGTTTCTTGATCGACCATTGCGATAAATATTGGGTGATCACCATTTAGATGTTCACAGTTCAGAAATCGACATCTGATTAATGCATATTGTTTTCGATGAATATTGTCAGCAACCACGATGCCTTTCATTGGGCTCTTTTGTAAGTTGAACAGAGCAATGTCGTAAACTTTTCACAAACTCACTTGAATAGGTTATGCGATTAATAGACATAATGATGTATTAAAACAAACAAGGATACAGATAACTTGTTGAAATATACACATGGCAAGAACAGGTAGCTCAATTATTCAAGCAGGACACTTTGATTACAATCCATACCTACTGTTGTTAAATACAATGTTATTCTATCCATCTCTAGATTTTATATCAACTGAAATGTTTGATGTCCTTTAACCTTGTCCGTCAACAGATTTGAAACATATTCATTGACAAAAGTTATCGGTTTGATGGTGACTTTATTAAAGTCGACATGATGAATTGTTTTAACAACCGTTGGATATGTTTATTATGTTGTATTCACAAAGTATGTCTTAATGGAACAAATCAGTTACAAGCTGTCTTAAATGACATCATATTGCAATAACTGACATGAGACAAACACAAAATGGCGAAATTTGTGCTAGTTTCTAAAAACGGAAGTGAATTTGAATTACTCTTTGTAATAAACTTAGTGTGTGCTGATAATTTTTGGAAGCGAATTCGTAGTTAACTGAAATGTCAAAGAAAGAACAAATCATTATTTTGTACAGTAAAATACATATTAATGATTGGTCTATTGTTCTGCAAACGATGAGATTTACTCCAAGCAGTGGACTATGTAGTTATTCCTACTAAGTCACATAAATTGCTCATAAGTGTTTTCAAATTCTCATAATTCATTGACTTTCTTCACAATATATGAATACTTGACAAACTGTTTGTATGTGTATGAATCTAAAGATTCGGAACACTTCAAGTTCTCTTCTGAACAGTTCCCTCATAAAAGATATACAATATTTTATTACTTATACTTACATAATGCTTTGTTCCATCTCCACAAAATATAGTATTTCTTATAAATTAACCGATTCAGATCCCGAATATCTAGCAGGAGAATGAGAATGGTTTTCCATCAATTTTAAAAGTGTACTGATGAATTCATCTTAACGTTTTATACCTTTTCAGTTTGATATTTATTTAGAAAATTTGAATATCTTTCGTTTTGCGCCAGAGACGCTCTCGTCACTTAGATGTTGTATTTTCCACTGGGAAATATCTTAAATACTATTGGTCCGTTGCGTCTTTTAGTATGCTATTCGGTAACTCTCCCCAAGGACGGTTTTGCACTGTATATAGACGTTTTGAATTGTGTGTGTTGTTATCGCTTGTTTCTGGCTGTTTGCAGAATATTCTTCCCTATTCCAAGCTTGGAGTTCTCTCTCTAGTTGGAGGGGCTGGGACGCATCAATAGCTAGCTTACTGGTCTTTGGTCACCGTGTCTTGTTTGTCGTTCACAGATTAAGTGAACTCGTGATAGCTTCAACACCAGCAGTACATAAACAAGGGTAGTAGACAGATAATTGTTTCACTAAATCGCAAACCGACCAAAGTTAAACAACTATTGAAAACCTGGAAGCAATGGATGATCATTTCGTTTTAGTATTAGATTTCTAAACAGAGTGCATCCACAACTTCACCGGAGCGAATCTAACTCAGTATCTATGATCTCTCATACAAACTCTCAATCTATGAACGATGGGGTTCCGATCCAATAGTGGATATGTTCAACTTTAATCAGTCCAAGAAAGTTTTGTATTTGATTTTGACTTTTGTGGATGTGGACTCGAAATGATGAAGTTTCACGCTAGGACGAAACGGCCGTTCCGTGCTTTCAGTTCTAAATAGTCATATGACTTTGCTCATTTCTTTATTTTAATGAAGTTGAACAATCTCCAGAACCCTATACTGATGGACAAACGCTTGACAAATGAACGTTCTTTAAAACTCAGATAAAGTAGCTGTAAATTTCAGATGATATTATAAACAAATAAGTAGTTACAATTTATGAGAACACATCGTTGTTTAAATGCATCATAATGAATATCACTTATTACAATATACCTTGTTCAGAGAATGTTCTACGTGGTTTGCAAACCTCATTTTCGCTATTAGACTTCTGTCCTGGAAATAAAATTCAAACGAATTATTTCATATTAGTTTTGTTACTTGAACTGATCAGCATTTGAAATGGATAGAAGCTTTGAAAATTCCTCAAAAAACCAGTAGTCTGATTAAATATAAACGTCTATTTCGCTAAACATTCATAGCTGATCGGTTAATATTATTTCAACTTTAAGATACTTTACCAAATGAATTATGAAAGTTATCTGTTCAGAAGAGGAAGGTGAATCTTTCATAATTCGACGATCCAGACGACAGAGAACAGAAGGATATGTGACGGAGAAAAATATATTTATAATCCTTTTATAAAAGGTCAGTATTTTACATATTTCTCGATTAGTATCATCAAGTTCAGGCTCTATTGGTGATCAAAATAAGGCGGTGAATTCATTATCATTTATTGGTTTATGATAAGAACGATCAAAGTTCTGGTTTGTTCAGCCTTGCTCAAGTTTATTTGCTTTGCCTATTCTCGAAAGTGTGTCTGGAATGACAGCCACTCGAATGGCTATTATAATGTGAACTCCATAAATTTTCAGTGCCCAATACCTTCTGAAATAAGCCAACTGTACGTTGGTTGTTTTGTGAATGTCTGTATTTTCCAGACATTTTCATTAGTTCTGAACTCCGCTATTGAAATGAACAAGTATTATTCATCATGAATTTATGTTGAAAGGACCAATTAAAAATAAACAGGTAACAGTGAACACTAATTGTCTTTTAGTTTTAGGTCTATGAATGTTCATCTACAATTCATTCATTATCAATTTGTCCACAGTGAAACATCATTTATATTTATTCAATTCATAAATGTGCAATGATCATCCGTAAGCCTTATAGACTATTCCAATTTCATAATTAAGTGAACAATCGCTTATATGCAAAACAGGAATGCCAATTTTCATATAGTAATTGAATGAGAAATGTACATATTATTTATGTAACTACACATTTAAGAATATTTTCACTGACTTTCTAAAATATTTTCTTGTTTTATGAAGCAGTCCTTCAGAGTTAAATAATCAGGAACTGTAGTATAAATGATACACAAGAAAGGTAGATGAAATTAACTTCAAAATTACAGAAGGAAAAAACAGATTACTATAACAACCAAATGTCAATTCTACTACTTCAATCCAAATAGTTCACTGTAATGAAAACAAGTGACTGTTTTTGTTTCCAAAAGTTATATATACATATATCGATATTACATTTTCGAAAGCATTTTCGGAGAACAGTACACAAAAGCGAATATTATAAATAGAAGTTTTCAAAATCATAAGCACCATCGATATTGAATTTACATTCAATATGATAAGAGACAATTATTTAAAAAAGAAGAAGAAAAAACAAAAAATCATACATGACATTAGATCCTCATTTTCAAACTGTTTATTCATTTCTAAGAGATTAAAATGAAGGTAAACAGATTTTCATTTGTATGGCATCTAACAATAAGAATAATGAGATCTAATTTTAGTTATAGGGAAAGCAAGGTAGTGGTTAGCAGTGGAATCCAGGACGTGCGTTTCATCACCCTATCGCACAAACAGATGGCTATCACGACTCAGTAGATAAGTGGATGACGTGATGGCGTTTGAAGCGTGCGGTACTGGGGTTGAGTCTCAGAGTGGACATTCATCTGACGAGTCTCAAATGAGACGAAACGTGCATCCTGGATTACACTTCTAGCCACTATCCATTTTTGTTTATAAAGCTTGTGACTTCACGCAATATCGAGGCAGTTCGCACAGAATGCACATATGCCAACAAAAGACTGATCAATTGTAGTCCTAAATAATAATACAAGTAAACTGCACTAAATGAATAATCTTAGTTATGTTTAAAGATTATAAGATAATAGTGTTTTAGCTTGTAACCATAATGGAGCTCTTGTGTTGACAGTCGAATTTCACCATTGGTGAAATATTTCCAAATATTTCCAATATATAGATTGCTTATTCGTAATATTGTGATGAATAGAAAGATTAGTGAGTTTATAAATCTGGAGAAAATTTAAACAAACTGTTCAACCAATCAGTAGCCTCCTTCAGTTAGAGCCAGTGCTAAACAGAAAGGTGATTGAATGCACACAAATAATGGTGACCAGAAAATTGTCATGTTATTTAAACCTACAACTTTATTCACTTCAAATTATGTGGTTACATCTTGGTTGTAATAATGTAAAGGAGATTGCCTGCTGAATCTGGTTAGTTTGAAACATGGTATATATGCTGCAATACCATTCTAATTCATTTGAACACATTTTATTTACATGATCTGAAATGTTCAGGGTTTTTTTAACACAGATCAGGATTGTTATCACGTTAATTATCATTTCGTCGTCTAGTGTAACTTTTAGAAAGTAAGTATAATAAAGAAGTAGAATGATCTATGATCCTATTTGATTTGTGAAAAATCAAAATGACTGAAACAAATCAGTGTAATGATGTATGCGTGTGGATGATGAGTTAAGAAGATCTACACTTCAACAAAAGTTTATTTGTAATATCTGATCAAACCTTTGAGAAATAAACTGAAGGATTCTTCATGTTGTTGTTCACTTTTACACTTCACGTCTAAAGTCAACCATGAGATTTAATGTAAATAATCTTGGTTTTAAACATACATTTTTGGATCGCTTTAAGCCTACTAGGTTTATTCCGAATAATGTCATCTGAAGGAAACAGACATACATTTAAACGATAAAATGTATTCAGTTTTATTCTTAGAAATTCTTCAAGCAAATAATTATTTAAGTATGAGAGATTAGTACAGTTCGTTGTTTACATCATTGCAAACCAAGAAACATCTAGACTTCTGAGCAAAACGTATCCAAACCATGTGCTTTGTTCTCTTGATCGGTGATGTTTGCACACTACTAGGGAGTTTCATGCTATAATGAAACAATTGTTCAGTGCACATAGGTTTACGCTGGTTGTCTCACTAAGATTAGACTGTGATGTAAATCATGAAACACGACATTTATCAGTCACCCTACCGGATGACTATCCGTTATTTAGAAAAGTATTGATAGACATAAGGGTTAAGTTTGTGTGATATATGCCACTACATACCAGAATAAATATCAGCGCAAATCCATGAATCATGCGTATATAACTGGTAGCATCACTCGATCGCACTAACTCTACCGTTATTCGTGTAATTACATGGTTAGAATCTTGATGACGAGAAATATATATAAATATTTCAAAAGGTTCAACTCCTCAATTTAACGTTGGAACTACTGTGAGGCAAATAGGGAACTGTGTTTGAAGTTTCTTGGATTAGTTGTTGTATAATGAATTTCAGTTGGACACCATTCGGAAAAGACTAAGTAGATAAAATGTACTGAATAATTCGTTACTATATGTAGTTGCTTTGTGTTTCAACTCCGTTTTTATGTGTTAATAAGTCGTGTTTGTTTAAGACATGTAGATTTTCTTAGTTATGTATTTACGTACAGAAATCAGTTCATATTTCACTTACTTATTTTGGCCTGTAGTAAATTTTCATTTTCCCTGAAATAAACCATTTTGCTCTCTACATCATCTGTAAATTAGACAAAGAATATTCTATTGAAAATGTGAATTTCTTAACTCAGATTACAGTTTGACATTTTTAATAATGACCATTGATATCATCTTCTTGAACATCAGAATTATTTGTACAACAAAATGATACTATTCATTATTTATAGGTCCTGGGTTCGAATCTCGCGAGGTGAGATCGTAGATGCACACTGCTAAGGAGACCCACAATAGAACGAAACAGCCGTCCAGTGCTTCCAGATTATCTATGGTGGTCTAGCTTTAATTGACTCATGATCTCAACTATTGAAGTTACATTATTTATATGTTAATTATGCACGCTCATAGACTTACATCATAAATCATAGAAATGAGCAGAATAATCACAGTTTGTAAAATATTATTATTTAGCAACTAATATATCAATAGTTGTCAATGTCTCACTTATATCCAGTGGTAACTCAACGAGGATGGTTTTGAGGCAAATACTAATGAATGAATTTCAAATGATGTGTGCAGAGTTATTAGTGGATTTTATTCAAATAAACACGTATTTCACAAAACAATATATGTAAGCTTTATCTTCTTGAGTCTTACAAGTTAAAACATACTTATTCTTTCCAATTCGTCCCAATCGACTAAGTTTAATGAAAAGAAACAGAATTATACATACTCCTGCTGGACTATTAAGTCAACAGTTTCTTATTCATTACTTATTTTCAAAACACTTATCATATAAAAGTTGGAGATTGGAATTTGAAATGTTTAATTGAACCTAACAATCTTTGTAACAATTGATCTGCTTTAATATTGTCGATTGTTCACTTGGTAGTGGAAAGTGGTTAATTGTTTCAGTTCAGTAGATTGTTGACGCGATAGGCATAATGAATGATAACTTTCGTCTATTAATTACTACCTCCCACATTCATAGACACATTTGGCCAAATCTCGTATAAATGTTGTTTCCTCTTTTATTGGTACGATGTGGTCTGTCTGGTTGGTATTATAAACCCAGTATGTTTGAAATAAATAATTGATATTGCAGAGGCTGAGATTGGTGTTCTGGACTTAACTGGCTATGCTAGGCAGGAAGCATTGCCGATAAGTACTCTAGACTGCTCGCACGGGTTTTAGGCGTCATTGATCTGATCGATAATTCGCTGCTCTCTAATTGGCGGTATCGTTACGTATACGTTAGCAGGACACTCAGGCCACAAGTTATCACAATCCCCATAGGTGAACTTGAACGTTTATTAATAAACAGCATTGTATTTTTTAAAAGAACAGTCTTTCCACAAAGATTATGTCATATTTAATAATATACACCGGCTATCAATGTTTGACATGACTGTTCAAACTATACATAAATCATGAGTTAAGTGATGTATATATATATATATATATATGATCGAAATATGATTTGATGACTTACGACGTCGAGGTATAGCTTGAAAAATATTTCAAAATATCAATTGGCACAAATGATTTAAATGAAGTGACAATTTAGATAGGTAACGTTGTCTTAAATCACCTTCTAAATAATATCTATTCTGGTGTGAATTGTAATTCCCAGTAGGTAAAATATACTGTCAAATATATGATTATCTCATGGATGAGGCTGTTGATGAGAGGTTATAAATCTGGTTTAAGAAAAGTATTTTCTTATATTGGAATATTATATTTACTTCACATCTGAAAAAGCGTCACTATATAGATTGTTCCATTCAACGAGTAAATGGGATGAATTATTTACAAGATAAGATAGTTCCATGAAAAGATTTGTAATAGATTCGATTGATTTCTTTCAGGAAATAAAAGTCGATTTAGCCTAATTTATTACAACGTTGTTGTAAATGTCTTAATAAAGCTTGTCTATTATTGTGTGGTTTACTTTTTGCATGAGTGTGATTAGATTACCGTTTGTAAAGAGGGACTTACTAATGCTTTTAATGTTAAATTTTGTGACTAATTAACTAAAAAAACTCCAACTGGAGTCCCTCTGGAGGCTACTGCCCAGATAAAGGGGTAGTGCTGGGCATGGGGTTAGCGACCCCATCTCGTAGAAAACTAACTCGCTAAAAAACGTTAACCAGAAAATTATTCAATTAACTAGAAACTAGTGATAAATATTCTCAAATGGTTTAAGTGTAAATCAGTAATTTGGTTCAGTTGATGTATGATTTTATTTTAAGTTACTTTTATCTTAATACACAAATGAGATGTGTGTGGATGCCAAAACGCTTTATTGTTACACAAAAATAGAATTATCACGAATTTCATTTAATTTCGGTGATTTATTTACTCTGAAGAAGCGGTTTATACTGAGTTACGAAACATCGAAAATTTAATTTTTCTATTTATTGGGATATAATAGAAATATATTTACTATTAACTCTCTATCTAATGCTTAATTTATTTGAAACTATCAAGTCCAATCTTGGTATTGATAACTCTAAACCTAATCTGTTCAATATTAGAAAGGGATTTTGTGGAAATTATAGTAACTTCAATAGTTGAGATCATGAGTCAATTGAAGCTAGTTCATCATGGAAAACCTGGAAACATGGTGATTCCAGGTCTAGCTTCAATTGACTCATGATCTCAATTATTGAAATTAATCTGTTTAGTGTAGAAATGTAACTAAATGTTTCCATCAATTATTAATTTATTGAGACTTTTCATCTGTATTTGAAACAATTCAAGCTGTCTCAGTTTTTCAAATTTTTAAGTAAAAATATATAAAAATTCGTTAGTAACATCCTCTTGGATAGAGCAAAACTGTTTTCCAATTTATGTAGTCAGCTTTAAATCATAATAACGGAAGTAGATACACTTCCTCATTTCGATGATCATACAAGTTTCATAAGAATGTATGAAATACAGTGATGAGTTCGACAGTGTAAGTACTATTACAAATATGAACTAGTGAATGAACATTGTTCGATAACTTACGTTCATTTCCCAATGCTATGAAAAATATAAGATGTAAGTATATGTATAATCAAAAATATAAAACGGTGTATCCAGGAGCATGTTTCACTTTGAAAGCAGTTTAAACAATTATGGTTGATTGTTATTGAGACGTAAGTTATATTTCTTAGCACGAATCTTCCTAATTGATATATATATTTGTTCCCTTAACAGGTGACGGTTAGCCACTGACGTTTATAACTATACTATTGCCTATAATGATTGGTTCATTATAAGGGATAATTTACAAAGTAACTTTAAATGTTATTACTACTGATAAGTGCCAATTATGCCTAATGGGCATTTATTTAACCAGAAATTTGAAATTTATTGAATCCTCATTGTATTATTAATAAGCTCAGAGGATACCCACAAAGAAATTGAAAGACAGTTGAATATCTTTATTATTTTCTGACAGGTAATAATGATAACAGGTTTCAAACTATTGTGGGAGTTGATGTTGATTGAATACATTATCATTTTGATACTAGTCAAAAGGCGCTGACCGCGTTTCTTAACCTGTTCTGTCTGTCTTCCGGCTTTTAGCGTCCATCTTGTCGATGCCAATCATTACCGAATAGTTTTACCATATAATCAGAAATATGTTGTTTGTGAATGACAATGGCAGAGTGAATACATCGAAATACGTCTACAACATATTATACAGATTTATATTAATGTGTTGTCGTTATTCAGAAGTACATCTGATTAATCATCACTGAAGCATAGGTTCATTTACGGATCGTTTGCTATTGCCTAGTGAAACACGGTTTTGTCAATCTTTTGAATCGAGACAGGAGTTTCAACTTGTTTAGTGGCTGTTGTATTCATCAGTTTGCATTATCACTTTGCTGTTTACACTGTGAATGAAATCTAGTTCGTATGGATTTCTTTTCAGCACTTCATCCGACAATCTATTGAAACTAAATAATATCCAACTGGTTCATCAATTGTAAAGATATTCGTTAGTTATTAAATTATCACACAATTGATATCCCACTACTGACTTCAATCTAGAATTATAACAAAAAAACCTATACAACAATTATGAAGTGTTGATTTTAGTGACTAGCAGTAAACATCATGATTCTGTTAGTCTGATTAGTTGACTGCACTTGCACCCGTGTTTATATTTACATCTAGACTTCAACCTGTTAACGTCCGCTTGAGACACTGAATGTTACACCTACTCAAATTCTTATTACAAATAGCCACTGAATTGTGCAAGGAAGATGAAATCTTATCGGTTTGTATCCTAGGGGACCTTCAGAATGTTGATTGAAATGCTCTTGAGTTGACATCAATACCACGTCTATCCTTTCTGAATGTACGTATTCAAAAAGAGACTGATCAACTGGAGTGATTACAATCAACAATGGGATGACATAAACCCTCACAAATGAATGAAAAATTCCATAACGATAAAATTTTCAAGACTGTTCGAGAGAATGACATAGAAGGAAAAATATTAGTTGGAAAATGACTTTCACTTCATGTGAGTGTTGAATGTAAATTTGTATTGAAAAATGAGAACTGGTTTATTATTATCATCTCCGATGATTTTACTTCGAAGTCATTGATTGGAATAAATGGATACGTGATTGTTTTTGTTTTGATCTATTTTAGAGTTGTACTCCTGGAATCATTATCCATCAGTCTATTTCATCTTAAGAATGAATCAAATAGAAATATTTAGTTTAATGAATCAAACATTCATGAAAACAAGATCAACAGAGTGTATTTTATAAAGACAATATTCCATCACTTACTCTTATCGAATAGTACTTGAAAAAAATAAAGGAATATATGTTTATACAAATTAATTAAGGAATGAAATACAGATTAACTATGTACACAGATCTATATTCTTCTTCTTCTTCTCCTTTTTTATATGCAAATTATTAATTCACATTGATTAGCTAATTTCTGTCATACTGTGATGTATACTACTGATGTCGATAGATATAAGTAGTAAATATTGTCCACTACAATACCTGTTTAAATTGTATCATCCACAACTCATTACAATAATGTAATGCGTATTTATTGCCAATATTTCAAGGATATTTGTATGCTTTTCATTGATTAAGTAAGTCTTTTGATAAGATCAGTTCCATGTAAATGTAACTATATTACAATGATAAACTTTATGTTTTTAACATTATTTTTCGGACTGAGAATAGTCAAGTTTGTATTCAATGGCTTACCATGTACAGCAGCTTATAGAGAAAAGGATCAATGGGACATGAAAATTCAGTAAATATGTAAAGCATATTCGTTAAAGAATAGAGTTACGGTAGTAGAAAGTTATAGCTTTAGTTCAGAGAATTACTTTGAGTGATTTTGAAACTGATCAAACAGATGTAAACCGGTTCAGAGTTCGACTGCAGTGCAAATAGTACACTGTATTAAATTGTACAATTATAGAAGAGATAGTATTTTAGAACTTAGAAATAGTAGAGTATAACTCTACCAACCAAGATAAAACATCACTAACTTGATAATTTATTTTCTAAGTTGTGTAAAATAAAACTTAAATATTACAAAGAAACATCGCCTCTCTATTAGAGCGCTATGTCTAATAGCTGTCTTCATTCAAAATATAATACTATGTAATATGATCTTATCTCTAGAGTCAAGAATGCTGTTCTTCAATAATTTGATTTTCGGTAAGTAATGGACGAACAGATAATCATGTAAACTATCTGAATGACGCAATCTCGTCAAAAACAGAATTTTGTTTTGCATTAACTGGATATTCATAAACACATTTAGAAACTGCGTCGTACTCCAGTAATCCACATGTTCCTTTTGAATAATCGACTCTATTCGACTGAAGATAATCAGTAAAGTTTAGTTCTACACATTAAAATTGAGTGACAATTATTGTGAACCAGCTAGAAAGCATTAAAATGTAATTGCTGAGACTCATATGATCAGCGAAATTAGAATGAATAATTTGAATATTACAAAATTCAACTTACAGTCTGGTAATGAAATGTGAAAAAGTGCAACAAATGTGATTAATTAAGATTGAGATGTAAATCATATTGGTTATCATGAACATTTAGTGGTTGATACACGTTCATGTTATCAATATGTAATGGTAAACCAATAATTCATATTGTTGCACATCAGTCGATTATCATTGATTCATTATACAGAGTAATTTAAAACTAAACGAAATGCACTCATTAGGAAATCACAGAGTTACAAAGATTTGTTTGGAGAAAAGTTGTGTTTTCGGAGAGTTCACTTCTGAAGTGTACAATCTGACATACCATGTTTCTCATAAACGATTTCAGTAATTTGCCCATTACTGTTATCATGATGTGAGGATGATGAACTAGATGAATGTCGAAGGACATGATAAAATGAAACGGTGATGTTCATATGAACCATGATTGGGATGAGCATGAGAAGAGAAATATACCGGTTTAGTGGTAAAGTTGTGTGGTGCTGGAGGCAGAGAAAGTGTAGGATTTGGAAGAATAATGACAATCGACGCGATGTAGAAGATTGTTTCTGAATATCGAGTGGTTGGAAAATACTAATTACAGGGTTTCTGTGAAGAAGAGTATTTTGAGAGAGAAAGAGAAAAAGAGTTGGAAATTGAATGTCAGCAATGAAATGGATGTTCGTAGGCAGAATTTTGTTTAATGTAAAAGTTATCTGTACTCTGAATATAGGTATCATTACCAAGGTTTGATTTGATAATTTCGAATAAATTGAGCATTGGGTAGATTGTTATAAATCAATAGTATATTTGTAATATCCCAATGAGTAGAAAAATTAGACTTTCTGACGTTTCGTGGCTTGGTGTCAGTCACTTCTTCAGAAAATCTAACTTTTCTACTCATTGGGATATTACAAATATACTATTTATTTGTACTCTGAATAGTTCGAATACTATACTTATATCGACAGGCCTCAATGGATATTACTGTGAATGATATCACTACTGATAAGTAACAAAAATACTCACCAAAGATGTATTTCGACAAGAGAGATGATAGTCGAAATACATAATTGTGAAATATTAGAGAAATTCTAGAATTGTCGTTGTGGTAGTTGTGATGGTAGTATTAGTGATAATACCAGAACCATTAGTGCTGTTAATGTTGGCAGATGATATTGTATTAGTGAGAGTGGAACGGTTATAAGATAGTCGAGGATGTGTGTAGATATCCACAAAATAAAATAGAAAGTCAACCTAGCATTAATATCAGATGATAATAATGAGGGATTCATTATAGTTGATGCAAATTATCCTTGTGTATTAACCATCATCTATATAATTACCATAATAAGCTATTACTCTTGATTCTACTATCCCGTCTGTTTCTCGATTTAGAAGTGTAATCGCACCGAAATTAATGAATAGAGAATTGTGTAATTGTATTATGAGAAACATTTTGCATTTCGACTTGTCATCAACAATGCATGTGATGCATGTAGACTCACATTATCTCCCAAGCATTTGAATGGGACATTTGTATGTGTCTCGTAATCAATAAGATCAATAGGTGGTTGTATTACAATTCAAGTGACTTGGAATTATCAAACGAGGTTTACAATTTTGTGTGTGATATTCAATTTGTCTGAATGAACAAGATAAATCTCATTGGATTCGTTGGTTATTTTTAAATAATTAAAACGCATACTGAAATATGATGGCTGTTTATCATACAGTTTTGTGAAAACACAGCATGCTTTGTACAAATGTGACCGTATTAAACATTCTTGACGAGATAAAATTTGGCATTCATTTTATCTTCATTTGACCACAGTTTTCTGACGTATGTATGAACCTTTTAGTCAATGTCTGATGTAGCTAGCACTATGGAAGGGTTATTTTATTATGAGCAACATGCGCTATTCGAAATGACAATGAAGAGATATTTTCATTGATACACATCTTCCATTTTATAAATATTTCTGTCATTTTGTTATCTGTTTTCTGTGGTTCATTTGATAGGCGGTGATTATCGTGTTGTTCAATATTACGTAAGGATACACTATCTTATCATAATTGTGGATCATGGCATATTACTTTGTCCAATTATACTACTGTGATGAACGCTACTCACGAGATCACTTGTAGGTAGTTACCTACTTACTTACTTAAGCCTGTTACTCTCTATGGAGCATAGGCTGCCGACCAGCATTCTCTAACACACTCTGTCCTGAGCCTTCCTTTGCATTTTATCCAATTTTTGTTCATTTTCCTCATGTCTGTTTACATTTCTCGACGTAATGTGTTCTTTGGTCCTCCTCTTTTCTTTCGGCCTTGAGGATTCCATGTGAGGGCTTGCCTTGTGACGCAGTTGGGTGCTTTTATGTAGTACTCATACACAAATTAACTGTTTTGAAAGTGGGAAGTATATTAAGTTGACGGAAATCTACTTGTGAAGAATGGATACCTAATGGATCCAATAAAAAAGTCCATACAGTTCTTGAAGTTAACTGTTTGTATTGATTATCCAATGACCAGAATTATACCAGTAGAGAATGCTCCAAATTTATTTAACCTAACTCATGGTTTTGAAGTTGTGAGTAATAACCAAGTCAAAAAACTTATGCAACTCAGAACACCTGTCAACTAATATCCAAGTCACAATCTTCAAGACAGTTCTGCTGTGCGGAGCTAAAACTTGTAGAACTACCACAACTATCATCATAAATGTACAATTAATTATAAACAAGCGTCTGCGCAAGATACACAATGTCCGTTGACCGGATTCCATCATCGAAAGTCTACCGTGAGAGAGAACAAACCAGTTTAGAGTTGAAGAGAAAATTAGGAAAAGAGGTCGGTAATGGATAGAACAGCTATCATGAAAATCATCAGACTTCATCACGAAGCAATCCCTAACTTGAAATCATGAGTGGAAACGAAAAAGAGGAAGGCCAAAGAACACACTTTGTCAGGAATGGGAAGCAAACATGAAAAGGATGGATAGCAACTGGGAGAGATTACTTTGGAGAAAGTTGGATCGTGAATGCTGGTAGGGGGACCTATGCTTCTCCACAAGGGATAACAAGAGTAAGTAGTGGAAAAATCAACGTGTATCATATTCAGAGATAAATTACATTTGTTTGAAAAAAGATTTTGTCAATTTTAAACGATAATAAGTACTCCAAATACACAGCCCTACTATTATGGCGAAAATAGTTTCATTAGAATACATTGAATATTAGTACTTAACTTGATTATAAATAAACAATAAATATATGTAATGTCCCAATGAGTAGAAAAACTAGATTTTCTGATGTTTCGTGACTTAATGTAAGTCACTTCTTCAGAGAACAATTAACCAAATTAAAATTAATCCAAGTTTAAATAGTACAACGGAACAATAAGAATAATATTTGATCAGTCAAAAAACAGGTCTGAACTAGTAAATGTCATATCATTTCGATCAAGGTGATTCATGTATGTGAGTTTGTGTGTATGAATGTATGTACTGTTCAAGGATGAAAAACTGTGTGACCTTTATGGTGAGAAAAGATGGAGTTTAATTTGTATGTAAGATAACAGTGTGAACTGTGAATAATATCAGACTAGGTGGCTAGGATAGATAATCCAAGAAGTATGTATAGTAAGACCTTATTTTCCACTGAGAGCAGCATGATTAAGCATTATATGGAACGCTCCAGCTACTCTCCTTTCTTCGTAATTAGAAAAGCCTTTTTACAACATTTGGACATTTTTTGAAATCGATTTGGTGGTCGTTAGAAAATGGCGTGAACTCCTATTGCCGATTTAATTTGAAGTTTATCAAGTTCTACAGGATTGTTAGTAAAGAAACCTCCTCATAATCCCGTAGAATATTACAAATCTATTATTTATTTATTTATAACAATCTACCCAATGCTCAATTTATTCGAAATGATCAAATTAAACCTTCGTATACTGATACCTAATTAACTTGATTGTTCAAACACTATTCTAAACATGAATGAAAGAGTATACATTTTGAAAACAAACTTTTTTTCTAACTTACGGCCTCCCATCGCAATCTGGAAATGTACGACAACCAAGATAAAGTTCAATAATACTGTACAGTACATTCTTCTTTAAAGAATATTCATTACTTCATTTCATTTTATACTATGATGATGTGATAATGATTCGTTAATTTTAATCTCTACCCCACAGTCTGTAGTGATTGGTTTGTTTTAAGAAAAATTATTTTTTTATACTTTAAATTGTACTGTCACTGATCAGCAGATAATGAAATAATACCCAAATATATACCCGGGAAGTTTGAAACTAGTTCTGATGTTTGCAGTATAATAGTACTGGTAATACTACTACTACTAATAATAATAGTAATAATAGTAACAGAACGATGGTAGTAATGATAGTAGTATCAAAAGCGATGTGAGTAGTAGTAGTGATGTCATTAATATTAATAATAGTAATAGAAATTGTAGAATATTCAATAAAATTCTTGATAAGATTGATGGATAGTAGCCAAAAATAAAAATATCATATCAAAATTATTATTGAGTGATAATATTTCGATACACCATATATACTTAGTCTTATTTAGTAACACCAGTGTTTTATGAAGTTTCTAGGTTCGAGTTTCACGTGCAAAGTAGTGGATACTCATTGCTGAGGATTCCCATACTAGAACGGAACAATCATCTAGTGCTTCCAGGTTTTCATTGGTAGTCTAATATTGATCAGTTCATGATCATAATTAAAAAACTCAACAATCTTCACAATCCTATTCTGATAGATCACAGTTAGTTGTAACGAAATTCAAGTTTACGGTGAATGAATGATGTTGTGATAATGTTTGTGTACTTATTATTACATATCCAAGTATAGATATGTCGAAAATGGCGTTGTGTCTTTGTAATCTGAACAATGAAGTTATCTTATAAGTTAAAAAGACAAAGCTTGTTTGAATGGACTTTACAGTTTCTTTGCTCATGTTTTTATATGCTGGTTTTGTCCATTTAACACAGAAGTAACATAAGTACCATTGTATATACATATCTTAGCAGTATAAAAGAGTCTAAATGAATAGTAGATTATCAGGATCTTGAAAATTGAGGCTGGTGAAGTTAAATAATCAATGAAGAAAGAGCGTAATTGATGCACTGTAACATTGCTAATATTTCGTACAAGAGAAATTTAGAAGCTCCAGACACATCAGAATTTCGTACACTACCGAGTTATTGACTAGTTAGATACCATACTTAGTTATTTTCGAAACTTAAATAGTTCAATTAGATGTGTGAAGTACCGTATCTCAGGAAAATTATGTGATAACAAGCACCAGTATATGATCGAGGAGTTCACAGTTACTCTATGCATATCACTATTCTCGAGATTTAATTGATGATAAAATTCAATAAAGATTTCACTATTTCCA